CCATTGGGGAGGCCAGAAGTAATGAGAAGACACGCATGAATGAATCAATATTAAACATTCAAGTTGCTAATTACGTGGTTTAAACTAGAAGACAAACAGATATGTTTTTATTTTTTACTGATCCTCAAAGCTTATAAGTGCCTAAATGTTCACTTATTCCCTTGTGGTAGTAAACAGCTATGAGAAAATGAAAGTAACACAAAACAAATAAACAGAAACAACACTTGTATGCATTAAAAACTGCATTTAAAAAAAAATCTACGGCCAATAATTGAGAAAACATTTACAATTTCATCAACTTTTAAAATGTTTAAAATGTTTAAATAAATTTAGAATGAAAAATGTATGCTTTAAGAGGACACCCATTTCTTCTATTCCTATAACATCCTGTAGCATTGTTTTTTCCTTAGTTTTGCTGTAAATATAGCTATCAGTGTCTCAATATATTTAATATAAACATTTCAAATTTACAAATTTGTAATCCAGGAACTAAATAATTTTACTTCTTTTTGGGCTCCTATGGAATTTTAAAGTTGTGTCACACTGTATTTTTGATGGCAGCCTCTACTCCTGCAATGTTTTCATTGACTATATTAAACTGTATAGATAGTCAAGATAGAGAAATTTCAATTCAAGGAATTCCCAAGAACAAGGAGAAATTCCTTCGTTTTGGTTGGTAGGGCTGTAGCAATTATGCATCTAAGTTCCAGGACTAGAAAAATGCTCTGAGGGGAAATTTAACTATGAGGGGGAAATGACATTTTCAGGAGAAACACTATTATGTGGATAATGCCCAGTGTCTTAATGGACTGGCCACCCACCTCAACCAAAGTTTTAAGTAAGTGATTTACCTTAAACTTGTAAATAATAGAATACTCTATAAAATGCACAGTCAGCCTTGCTGGGAAACATACATATTACAACATGGGGATTACTACAAATGAATGTGTCCATTAAAAATATTCCTCTGCAATTTCTCTTTCTATAATTTTGGAAGTGCTTTCACATCTTAAAATACCAGTAAATGCACGTGAGCATGATCAAATTCCACATATCAGATTACAGCTGCAAAAACACTGTACTTCAAAATGAAGTCAAACTCAAGTTCAGAACCAAGCAGATTCTAAAGACAGAGTGTAAAAAACAGGAACAAGCAGGCCCTTTGGAAAGACAAGGAAAACTCCAAAATCGTCTCAACTACTATCTACTGATTAAATATATTTTTGTCAAGGGAAAGTAGATTTAATTTCCTAGGACAACTCAGACTTTCTCAGGATTGTTGTGAAGATTGTAAAATGGAACAATCACTTTGGGAAACTGACAGTTTCTTATAAAATTAAACAAATGTCTACTCTGTGCTTTCAGATATTTACTCAAGTGAAACGTAACCTCATGCAAGAATGTTTCCAGTACTCTTGGAAAGATTAAATAAGATCATAAATAAGAAAGTCACTTATACAATGTTGGGCAAGTGGAAGGAGCTTATTATTATTAAATAGGTTCAATTGCCTTTCATGTTTCTGGATGCATAATAAAAGGTGAAAGATTTACATGATCTGAAGACAAAGCACTGTATATGTTTTTGGATGTAATATAAAAAAGTACAGGATTTCAAAAGGGCAGACCTGGGTTTATGTCCTGGTCTATTACTTATCCATTTTATTCACTGATTCAACCTTTTTCAGACCTACTCTTTGCCAAGTACTCTTCTAGATGTTGGGGATATGGTGCTGAATATGATAGTTTGAGGCTTTACTCTATGGGGTTCACATTCTAGCACCTTGGGCAAGATGTTTAAGTTTTCTGAACCTCATTTTTGCCTTCACAGTTCAAGTAAATCTGGCACCTACGACAGGCTGGGTATTGTATTAAGTTTGGCAGCACAAGAACCAACTACATAGAACCTGTGTTTTCAAGTACTTTAGAAGTCCAATGGGGGCAGCAGACAAATCATCAGGAGAATTCAGGTGCTGTGAGAAGGATCAGGACCCAGTATTAAGGGCAATAGTGGACTCAGTGTTGGGTGGCAAGGAGGTTGGTCGCAGGAGTGAGTCAGAGAAGGCTTCCTGGAGAAAGGCATTTAAACTCAGTCTGCAGAGTAAACCAGGCAAAAGATCTTCACGATTCGCATTATCAGTGAGGTGAAATGAAAATATAGTTGGGAAAGTACACATCAATCAGTACATAAAGTCCTTCATAATATAAAGCAGCATTATTTCTATTTTAAAGGCAAGAGTATTAAATTGGAAAATCACTGTGTAGCTGAATCCAGTTTATACTATGCTTGACAATGTGTTATCTTCCAAATATGTGCTTCAACTGGACTTTCCACATCTGCTTCCTCAATCCCAATGCTTCTAGCTTTCTGCCTGAAGAAACTGAGTACTTGAATAAATTGTTTTTAATCATACAGGACCAATTCTGACTTCCAGACAAGTTCCCGGGATTTGCTAAATTCACAGTCTGTGCTGTAGCTCTGTGGTAGGCCACAGTGGCCTCAAAGCATCAAACAGGCCTTCCAAACAACCACAATTCTTACTATTCTGTTACCCACCAAGCATTTAATAATTTTTTTCAAGTTAATTGAAAAGTTCTGTTTATGGGACTTGAATATAGTTTATGCTATAAATAGCCAAAACTATAAAGCAGTACAGGAAACACTAGCTCTGCTGGAAGATTTTTGATTTGCATTTGCTCTTTTATTTTATATGTTACGCAAACCTCTGAAAAATGGAAGTAGGAAGTGGGACTGGGGACAAGGGCTTAGGAAATTACTCTTTCCAAATACGGTGGCATTGAAATAAACGTGGATGAAGGATGTCATTACAGAAATACAGACTACATTCAGCACATCCTCATTCCAATGTATACACTCAGGCTGACTGCATCAGCAATGATGATGAAAGCCACTCCAACCACAAGAACCTTGAACCATTTAAGCAGATTTTGATTTTTTCTTTTCTTTTTTTTTTTTAAATGAGATGGTGTCTTGTTCTGTTGCCAGGCTGGAAGCATAGTGGCGCACTCTCGGCTTACTGCTACCTCCGCCTCCCAGGTTCAAGTGATTCCCCTGCCTCAGCCTCCTGAGTAGCTGAGACTACCAGTGTATGCCACCACGACTGGTTAGTTTTTTGTATTTTAGTAGAGATGGGGTTTAACCATGTTGGCCAGGATAGTCTCAATCTCTTGACCTTGTGATCTGCCCGCCTCGGCCTCCCAAAGTGCTGGGATTACAGGCATGAAACACCAAGAAAAAATGTTTAAAGCACTTTAATTTCCTCCTGGGAAGTTGCAATAGTGGTTAGATAGATCAATTCTCCTATAAATGGCAAGGGTTTATGTGAATGTTATACTCTATCTTCAGAAACATCTGTATTATGGTCAGATGTTAGAGATGTTTCCTGGATCAACAGAAAAAAAGATTGTGATACAGAAATGCCCATTCCCAAAATAATGGCAAGTATATACCCACAACAAAATCACTGGTATACCTAATAAAAGTGGGCACCATGCAAAGTCTAATAGAACCCTCTCGCCAGCTTAAGTATGCTGAGAGCCTCATGTGAACAAGAGAAATGTGTCTGGTGAAGCAAAAATGGGGGAGCTTTTGTTTTTTTCAGGGATAAACTGACCAAGAGTAGGAGGCAGCTACCTGGTGCCACGGCACCTGAGTTAAGGCTATCATTGAGTCCTCTCAGCTCCAGCATCAGTGCCTTCATATTTGTAGGCAACCAGCCTTTTGGCCTTAGAGTTCTATCTCTGCCCTGGAAGGATCACAAGATCCCTCTAGGCCCAAACCAATGCGTTAGCAACATCTCTCTTTTTTTAAACCACTGTGTAAAATCCATGTGTTAGATTAGGGAAGATGATAGGAGAAAGGGCATTGCTGTAGAAAATAGCAAGAGTGAAAGCAACTTATTCTTGGGTGGAAAGAACCCAAGGAAAAGAGTAGGAAAAAGTTCTGGAAAAAGACGGATTGGTGAGGGGAGCTTGGCTTAGAGTCAGGAAAGATACCAAAATTTTGAAGGAAGTTAAGAAAGGAGGAAGGGAGAGAAGAAGGAAGTTGATTAGTTCTGAGACATCTTCTCCAGCTTCTCGGCCTCCTCTCAGAGACATGGTCAGGCCCTTTTTCAGGGGAGTAAGGAGAAATGCAGAAATTCCATTCAAGCATTTGTTCATTTAACAAATATTTCGCAACTAATGGTTTCAATCATTTTTCCTGGTTCTGAAGCAGAAACTGGTTTAAAGCAATTTGGTATTTATAGTCATCTACTAACTGGTTTAAAGCAGGTGATGTGAGCTCAGCCCCTGTGACCACAATGGAATGCCTGTCTACTTCCTAACAACTATAATAATTTTAGCTACCTGCAAATGACCAACAGCTTTCATCTCCCTATTAGATTATGAGCCCTTTATTTACTATTTTATTTGTAGAGACGGGGTCTCACTATGTTGACCAGGCTGGTCTTTTTTTTTTTTTTTTGAGATGGAGTTTTGCTCTTATTACCCAGGCTGCAGTGCAATGGTGTGGTCTCGGCTCACCGCAACCTCCGCCTCCTGGGTTCAGGCAATTCTCCTGCCTCAACCTCCTGAGTAGCTGGGATTACAGATACGCACCACCATGCCCAGCTAATTTTTTGTATTTTTAGTAGAGACAGGGTTTCACCATGTTGACCAGGATGGTCTCGATCTCTTGACCTCATGATCCACCTGCCTCGGCCTCCCAAAGTGCTGGGATTACAGGCATGAACCCTTGCACCTGGCTCCACTTTTTGTCTTTTACAGTGATTTTTACTATATCTTTTCTGTACTTATATGCAGAAGATGCTTACCATTGTGTTATGGTCACCTACACCATTTAAACCAACAAGATAGCATGCAGTCCCATAGCCTAGAAACAGCATTTATCATACCACATAACCCTTAGGTGGGGCTGGATCTACTACCTAGATTTAGTGCATGCAATCGTCCCATAAACCATGACCAGAGTGACAAGAAGTAAAGGTGCTGGGACCAATGATCACCAGCTGCCCACCTACCAAAAAAATTATGCTTCTGAAATCTCTTAATGTTTATTTTGCACGAAGAGCAATTGAGTTGTCCTATGTGTGCCATTCATAACAGAGCCCTTTTTTCCCCTTTATTCACACTTTCAATGCATAGAAAAAAAACCTACTGGTTAGCCCACAGTAAACATTTAATAAACACTCAATTAGCATTTGGCAAATATCTTCCAAGGAAAAGTGTCCCTGTGGAGAACAGCAAGACATGGGCATCTGTGATCTATACCTATGGTGTCAGTAACTGAACCAGGGGTGGACCCTCCTTCCCTATTTACTGGAGGTGACTTATCAGGCTGAACTCAGCCAGCCTGGAGGTTCCAGGTGCATGAATCTTCCCTCACCTGCACTGTGTAAGGTGTTCTGCTCACGGAATCACTTTAACTTTGGCTTGAACTTAGTCTTGTGCCCTGGAAGCTTCTAGTTAACTATCCTTTAGGCCAGTCAAGAACTCCTGGACGCACACGTGATATTGGGCCAGGGGTTCAGGATATTCTTTCCTGCTCAGCAAAGTATGGTGTCACAGTCCTCAACACATCCCTCCAGGCAGCTGCAACATGGAACAGGGTTGGCACGGAGGCAATGATGCCAACTTGTGTACAATTGGGGACCAGGTATAATTTCTCCCTCTGACTCAGAGAGGTGAGATCTCCTCAAACTCTAAGGTACCACTACCCAATAAAACGGCAATGCAAGCCAATGTGTAATTATGAATCCTGGTAGCTACACTAAAAAAAAAAAGGAAAAGAGTAATTAATATTAATAATGTATCTTGTTTAGTATAACATATGCAATATATCATTTCTATGTGAAATCAACATTTAAAATTAACAAGATGATTTATATCCTTTTCCTCATACGACTCTTCAAAATCCAGCATGTAGTTTAACCTTTTTTTTTTTTTCTCCTGAGATGGAATTTCACTCTTGTTGCCCAGGCTGGAGTGTAATGGCGTGGTCTCGGCTGGCTGCAACCTCGGCCTCCTGGGTTCAAGCAATTATCCTGCTTCAGCCTACAGAGTAGCTGAGATTACAGGCGCATGCCACCATACCTGGCTAATTTTTGTGTTTTTTGTAGAGACAGGGTTTCACCATGTTGGCCAGGCTGGTCTTGAACTCCTGACCTCAGGTGATCCACCCGCTTCAGTCTCCAAAAGTGCTGGTATTAGAGGCATGAGCCACTGTGCCTGGCCTTATTTTAAACTTTTAGCACATCTCAGTTTTGACTAGCACCATCTCAGATGCTCAACAGCCGTGCACTGAGGAGTTCAGGAATCTCTGAAAACATCTTCGGGTGACTGTTTCTAAACAAATCTTTTTGACTAAAAATTAGTTTAGGAAAAATAAAAATATTTATGAACGAAGCACTCTAATAATTCCTGTGTGGGAAAATGTTTACTCTTGCAATGTAGATTACATGTGTTAACAACAATGATAATGAGAAAAGTTTTGCTTTTTTTTTTTTTTAAACCACTCAAATCTTAATATCTGGATATGTTTGTTAGAGAAGTGGCAAGGCAGAGGAAGTCTTTAAACTGTCAGCTTGACATCACATAAATAATCACACTATAAAGCTAGGTGGGTGGCAAAATGCTTCTCACTGCTAGGACGCCCTGCCCTGACCAAAGAATGACTCCCTGGGCCAGAGTGCTGGTTCTTTCCTGGTCTTTGTTTAGAATGGCAATACAAAAGCCCTATCAAAAGGAAGAAAAATAGACTGTTATCTTGGTTTCTAACCTGTGGGCCTGAAGTTTCTGTCAGGCCACTAATAACTGTCCCTTGATTGAACAATATTTAATTTTCATTCAAAACTTTTGCTGAATGCTAATATGAGGCAAGCACTGTTTGAGGGGCTGCAATTTACCCACCACATATTTGTATTATTTTCCAAATGTACATGGAAGATATCAGTAAAGTAAAAATTCATACACAAGCATGAATTCCCAGCAGCCTTCTCCTTTGCATTTTCCCAATCAATGGAATCTAAAAGTATATACATGTGAAGATTCCTGAAGCTGCTTGATGCTAAAGTATGATCTTTCAGTATCAAAAATCACTATTTTGCTCTTTTTCGAGTGACATGAGCGGCATGACTTGAAGCCAGCCAGGACTCTCTCTCTCTCTCTTCTTTTAGACAGAGTTTCGTTCTTGTTGCCCAAGCTGGAGTGCAATGGTGTCGTCTCAGCTCATTGCAACCTCTGTCTCCCAGGCTCAAGTGATTCTCCTGTCTCGGTCTCCCAAGTAGCTGGAATTACAGGTGCCTGCCAACATGCCCAGCTAATTTTTGTATTTTTTTAGTAGAGATGGGGTTTCACCATGTTGGCCCGCTGGTCTCGAACTCCTGACCTCAGGTGATCCACCCACCTCTGCCTCCCAAAATGCTGGGATTTCAGGAATGAGCCACAGCACCCAGCCCTAGCCAGGATTCTGAGATCAGATCCACCCATTGCTTGTTATTGAGTTAATGGTCTCTTTCTAAGAAGCACTGGGTTTTAGAACCAACTACAGGCTGAATTTAATTGTTCAATGTTAATACATTCAATACAGATGATTTCATTATATAAATGCACTGGCTACTTTGCAGTATTTCCTTAGGCATAATAAGCTTTTACCATAAAAGCCAAATCAACATTAATCTGCAAAGCTGTCATTTTACATCCATTACCAAGGAAAAAAGACAAAGGGAAAAAAAAGATAAAGTAAACCTTTATCAAGGAACTGGACCGGTACAATGATCAAACCAGCTCCCTCATCCCTTTGGGGCAATCTGATTTATAAACTGAGGTTTCAAAGTGTATTTTATTTAATTGCTGAGTGCAAGAGAACAGTAGGAGTTTTGGAACCAAGCTCTTTATGGTGCTGGCCTGCTCTGCTTTAGGGGAAAACTTTAAAAAAACAATCTTTTAAAGTTAGCATTTTCAGGCCAGTCTAATAATCCCACCAGTTTCATTTCCTTTCAGTTGCAGTAGCAAAGAGCAAAATGCCACCCTGGTGAACAAGTGAAAGTATTCATGTTTCAAAGCTGGCTGGTAGATAGTAGCCAGCCAACTCCTCCTGTATTTCCAAGCAAACACAAAGCAAAGCCATGTTTTTTATATCTTTTATAAACAATCTGTGTTTAAACAAGGCATACACAACGCTTTCTTCCCAGTTTCTAGAGGCTGGCCACTGTTGTGCTTAATTATACTCCTAAATCCTAAAGAATAAAACATCCAGCTAGGTAGTGACTGTGTGATCTCCATGCCTTGGCTGGAGGTGAGTGCAAAGCAAACTTGCCCAGGCTCCTGTTTCTAAACTCCTTCAGCAGGCAGGGCCCGAGGCTTGCGGTGCAGTGGAGCCAAACTCTTCCTTCCCGCTGGAGGAGGACAAGGAGTATGCAGCACACACCAGTTGCATTCATGAGTAAACAATCTTCCTGCCCACCAGCACTATATTTAGAGCCATCTCTTGGCAATGCAAACTTATATTTCTGGGCTTTCTGCCACCCGGACCAAAAAAAAAAGGACAAGAAAAACTGGTTTGGTTCCAGTGCTGAGCCCAAACAACAAAAGTTAAATGTGGCCTTCCCCATTGATGCGTTTCTGTGTCAAACATCACTCCTTCAAAAGCAGTGAACACTGGATGTGGCTCTGAAGAATGGAATGCTTTTTTCCCCTTCCAATTCTAATGAGTAAAACGTGTCCTACTCTCTAAGGGGACATTTTATAAAGAAGGAAGCAATGATACAAATTTATCGGAAAAGGACAGAATGTTTTAAAAATGTTTAACGTACTATCCATGTTGGGGCTGTCAACTTCCTCAAACATGAGGTAACCCCTGAGAAAAGTTAAAGCCCAAAGCCAGCTACAGGGTTGATGGAAAAAATACAGAGTGCTAAACAGCTAGGCCTCTCCGACCCTCAGAGGCAGACCCCATGAGAGATGCTCTCTAGCATTTTGCTGTTTTGCTATGTGAACATCTAGCACTTGGAACTTTCAGGGCTCTTCACTTCCAGAAGAAGTGGTGCAGGCAGAGGCCTTAGTGTGTACCCCCTAAGCAAGCAGCTGCCAGTCTTACTCACTTGGCTTCAAACTGTGGAATGCCACTGTCTACCAGAAATGAGCAAAACAAATGTCTCTCCTGTCCCTACTCCCAAACCTAACTTCTTCCCGACTTTCTTCCGTTTTTTTTTTCTTTCTTACAATTGCATTTTCTGAACTAATTTTAACATTTCTTTTATTACCTTGTCATTACCTTGTCATGGTTCTGATTGCTTAGAAATGTAGAATACTAACAGGACAGCCAGTACTCCCATAAATGCAACACCAAGCAGGAGAGCCATTTAGTGGTTTGGGTAAGTATTTCCTCCACACTGGTATGTGCAGTCAGTCACCTCTAACTAGTTCAACAAATAAAAAAGGAAAGAACAAAAATATCTGCTGCTTTGCAGCCATTTTTCCATGCTAAAATTATAATAGAAAATTAAAACAAGTATTAAATTTCTTTTGAAAACCCTCCACAAAATTTCGTAAAACTACAAAATGATATGTATACATGCTAATTAACTCCACTTGACGTGAAATATGAACACTTCTGAAAGCCCCAGAATAGTTCCATATAATACCTATTCTGGTTTGGGATTTCATAAATGGGTAAATGCAAAAAGAAACTGACTTGCTGCCAAACAATTCTCATCGTTCAGGTCTTAAAGACTGTTCACAAGGCCTCCTCCTCCCAGGCTTAGGCTGGGGTGTATGCCCTGTTCCCCTACAGTTGGGCGTGACCCCATGATCTGTATAGGTCAGTGGAATGTGAGCAGAAGTGACATGTGTTGCTTCTCTAACTCTGGTGCTCACTTATCTGTGTTCTCTTCCTCGCTACATTTACCTGAATCCTGGATGGACATAAAGCATAAGCCCGAAATATAGTAAAGACTTTTGTTTAATAGACTTTGCTGTTTAAGTCTACTGAGATTTGGGGCTGCTTGTCGCCATGGCAAACTTAGCCTAATCTGACCAATATAGTAAATTAGTAAAAAACGAACAACAATTAGCAGAAGATAATAGGGTAAAAGTTCATCACAGATCTAGTACCAA